CCAGATTTGTGTCCATTAATTCTTTTGCGTAGAGAATTAATGGACACAAATCTGGCATCAGGAATCAAAATACTCAAAAACCAGTGGGAGAACACTTTAACCTGTCTGGTCATTCAGTGACAGACTACGGGTGGGCTAGTATTACAACAGAAAAACTTCAAAAACAAGACTCCAACGAGAGACTGCTGAGCTAGAATTGATATGCAAACTAGACACAATCAACTCCGGTTTGAATAAGGACTGGGAATGGCTGAGCCATTACAAACATTGAATCTATCTCCCCTTGTAAGTATGCTCACACTTATCAAACTGTCTGTACTGGGCTAGCTTGATTATCACTTCAAAAGTTTTTTTTCTCTTAATTAATTGGCCTCTCAGAGTTGGTAAGACAACTCCCACCTGTTTATGCTCTCTGTATGTGTGTGTATATATATCTCCTCAATATATGTTCCATTCTATATGCATCCGAAGAAGTGGGCTGTAGTCCACGAAAGCTTATGCTCTAATACATTTGTTAGTCTCTAAGGGGCCACAAGTCCTCCTGTTCTTCTTTTTGCGGATACAGACTAACACGGCTGTTACTCTGAAACCTCCCATTGCTCTGAATGGATAAGTAATGTATGCACTAGATGAACAGTTGTCATTAATAGCATCTTTGAGTTCTGCAATAGCCAGTTGATGTCAGTCACTGTGTCATCTTATTATCATTAACCTTACCTCTTTCCCCACTTGTTTCCTATTCTTGTTTCAAGTTAGACTGTAAATTCTGTGGGGCAGGGACCATTTTTGTACAATTGCTACAACAATAGGGGCCTGATGGTGACTGCTGCTTTTGGGTCTTGCTAGGGTATAAAAAATTAACTATACACCCAGAACTTACCTGAACCGAGAGATAGAGGTCTCCCACTGATCTTTGGGTCTCTAGCTGCAACTCTGATCTTCCTATTTTGATGTAGCATGCCTGTTGCATTATTTGCGGCGGCTGTGCCTGGTCAGATTGCAAAAGATCAGACTATTTACCACACCGACAGGGTTGATCATGTCTGGAACTGGTGGGTACATTTATGACAGATCATGTCTGAAGAGAACAAATGCAATTTCTGACTGAACTGCAGCCCATTTACTGCTGGAAACATCTTTTAATCCTGAAACTTGGATTCATGGCTTGTAAAATTGAACAGGGAAGTACTGGGGGTTCACTTGTCAATATTAACACATTAATTCAGAAGGCAAGTACTGTACCAGCTTCCCTCAAATGAGTGGCTGTTAAGCCTTTGTGCAAGAAACCATCTCTTGCACTGGTGATCTTACCAATTAGTGGCCTGGCTCTGATCCTCCCATTTTGAAAAAGGTTGAAAAGATGGAGAAGTAATTTCAGTAAGTGGACACAGAATGCAAGTCACTGAAAGTTTGTCTCCTTATCAATATTTTGTGTATCCACCATATCTTGAACCACTCTCTCTCATTCTTCCTGATTCAGTGTGACATTGAAAGAGCGGTTAGGAATAAGCAAAATCTGTCAATATTATATCACAACATTTTATTTCCAGGAAACGATTCATTCACTTTGCTATTATTTTATTAAAAAAATACAAAAGCATTTCTAAATGCAGCAAAATATTAATGTGGTACATATGTATAGGTTTGTTACCATTAAAGGCAACTCCCAATTGGGACAAGCGATAATGTTTTATTTTATAAAAATCAATAACATTCATTGGGATTTTTTCTTCTCCAAAACAATACTCCAATGCTCTTTTTCCTTAAAACTGAAATAAGTGTTTTTGATCTGGAAGGCAGTGGTGAATGGATGGGGTTGGGGTAGTACACGTAAAAAAACCACATTTCAATAGCAAGGGTTGTATTAGTAATTTTTTTTTTAATTTGAAAAGTTAAAATCAAAATGACACTGCCCAAGTACTTAAAAGTGATTTACGTTGGGTTCTATGCTAACTTACCAGTACAGCACAAGCACACTGCTGTGGAAAATGGGCATCCCCGATGAAATTCCAGGGAATTCAATAGTTACAGCAGGCTTGAATCTAGCTGAGGATGAGCAAATTTACAATTTACTGTTGTTGAGAAGTCAGTTTCAATTTTCACTCTCCACTTGTAGTCTCACAAAAAGGGTTTTTTTTTTTAAATCATTTGAACAACCCACTGTCTAACACAAGCCAGCATTCAGACATTCACCTCCTGTAATTGCTTCATCCATGCTCAGAGCAAACCATGGCCAAAAACTGGTGGATTAACATACTGTTATTGTCACAGATTTACCGCATTGCTTGTGTTTGCAATTATTCTGACAATAGTGACAGAATACTCAAGGGGCTGTTTGGTGATCATTCCAAGCTTGCAGTGGACAAGTGTGCACATCACAAAACCACCACCATCACAGCACCCTTCTCAGCCTCAGCACAGAGGCCAAGGATTAAGCTACCTTTTCACTTTTATAGATGGTCCATTCAGGTCAAGAGTGAGAAACACTCGCAAAGTAATATGGGAGAAGCTTCATTGTAGCTGCTTTTTCTGCTCCTTTCTGTGGATAAACAGGGCGTCCATTTTCTGGGCTATCAATCTGGCAACTTTCAATTTTTTTTAATTAAATATTTCATCATTCTGAATGTCCATAAATGAAATGCAGTCCATATCATAGAGCTATAGTTCTGATTCAGTAATGTCCTCATCAGGGCAACAATAGTACTCCACAAAACAGATCTGTCCATCTTCATTCCTAATCATATACTGTAGTGAAAGGAATCCCCGATTATCTGTCCGAATAGACACTTTACAAGATAAAGCCAGTGCCTTAGTAGATGGTTTGAGCAAAGAGATTTTATACCTGCAGGTAAAGAAAAGCTATTTTAAAGTATATAAAATGTAACAATGGCTGACCCTTATTCTCAAGTAATGGACCAAAACTGACAAAACCAATTAGCAACATATCCAACCACAGTAGTAGTTTTACAGTATGGTTTAATTTTTCCCTGTTACTGCATCAACAGCATACATTTTATACTCTAATTTTTATTACTGAACTTTTAACCAGAGGAACAACTTCTGTCAAAGGGAAATTTTTAAAAACTACTCTATGTTCTAGGGAAAGTCAGACATTTCAGTAGCTGATGAAACCACTTTTTCACCTTCTTGGTAATAATGTGTCATCAGACTACTACTGTTACTGTCCTGATCACTGACCTGTTTGTCTGGGTCTGGTTGCAATGAAATGCTTCCATCAAATCAGAGTCTTTGGGATAGTCAAGATGAGCACTTCCTGCATTGCCAAAGGTGGATAATCTAAAAGACAAAATGCACCAACTTAGCAAAACTTTTGATATTGACACCATCAAATCTGAAAAGTGGAAACAACAAAGTGATGTTATACATCGGGACAATTCTCAAAGCATTAGATTTCAACAAGCTACTTAGTCTTCATAAGAAATGAGGTAGCACAGCCAACATTATCTGTGGCACTCCAAACTGAGTTCCCCTGATAGCAGCTGACTGTGGTTTCAAAGAAAGCTGACTTTCGCTAATGAAAGACTGATCATCATATTCCATTAGCACCTAGAGGCCACAATCTGCTGCCATATCAGAAACTGAAAGAAACCTGCTCGGCAGCACCTCGTGGAGCTGCCAGGAAAGTGGAAAACCGATGAGTTCCCCTATGCACTGCAGCATACAACTCCTGATTTTTCAGCCCTGATCAGTCACCCCTACCAAGGCCATGCAGACCTTGGAACTTAATTCTTCATAACCAAAAATACAAAATGAATGGATTAAAAAAACAGCCTGGAATTTGTTTAACAAGGTGTACAAAATACAAGCTAAAAGGAGTTGTATCTGCTTATGCCAAGGCTGAAGTTGGCCCCTAACCTTAAAATGATGATGTATTCTATTGCCAAAAGCATCAGGTTGAAAATTTTGGAATATTGAGAAATAAGGAACGAACAGTTGCCTGGAACCTTGTCTGAATAATTAAAGTCTTCGTATGTGATGCAGCAGACCATTATAACAGAAGGCAGAATTAAACCCGTATGATGTTGAATAAGCAGCAGCAATAATTCCAAACATCAAAGAGCAACTAAGTTGCTAAACATGAACCTTTGAAATGGACATGTAGTTTCTGATACCTGAAATAAGGCTTGTCTGGAGACATGGTGATCTGCAGGACCTCACTGGTCATATCTAATTCAGCAAATGCTTCTCTTAACCCTTCTGACTGCAGGATAATTTTATTAACCACATTTGTACTGCAGAAATCAAAATCTAGTGTCTCTTCAGGTTCTTCAGTGTTAATTTTACACACAGTTACCACACCTCCTTCTTCTAGAAATAGGGTCAAGGGGTAGCCATAACCACGGTAACACATTCGAAGTGCTGTTGACGTACCTGAAATGATGATAAAATTAGCACGCTTTAAGAGCTAGATGGTGTAAGGGAGAGAGGAGGGATAGCTCAGTGGTTTGAGCATTGGCCTGCTAAACCCAGGGTTGCGAGTTCAATCCTTAAGGGGGCCATTTAGGGAACAGGGGTAAAAATCTGTCTGGGGATTGATCCTGCTTTGAGCAAGGGGTTGGATTAGATGACCTCCTGAGGTCCCTTCCAACCCTGAAATTCTATGACTCTAAACTTTGGAGACCTGGATTCTAGCCATGCTTAAATCACAGATTAAATGGGTTTATTATGCTCAGTCTAGTCTCAGATCTTTACTGAATTCTGTCTCAATCACAAAATCATCATACAATTTAGGATGATTGACACTCTTTTCAAAAAGGCCCAAGATAGGAATAGCCAGGATATTAGAACAGGAGTATTTGTGGCACCTTAGAGACTAACATTTATTTGAGCATAAGCTTTCGTGGGCTAAACCCACTCCGGTGAAGTGGGTTTTAGCTCACGAAAGCTTATGTTCAAATAAATTTGTTAGTCTCTAAGGTGCCACAAGTACTCCCGTTCATTTTTTGGATACAGACTAACACGGCTGCTACTCTGAAACAGGATATTAGAGTTCATTCAAATGTGCAATGGCTGAATTGTCTGAGAAAGCTTGCACTGTGTATCTATCTGCAATTTGTGACTCTAGTCTACCCTCATTCATAAGTAACGCCTAAGAGAACATTTCTGGAAGAACTATTTTCAAGCAGAAAGACAGTTCAACTTCTAATATGTAAAATCACAGATAAGAACTGGATGTTTGACAATAGAATATTAATAATTCACAGTTCATATAAACAGAGCAATATTTCATTTTGAAATAGCATTTGAGGAAAAAAGGCATTTTTTAAGTGATCCACTGGAAAACTAACTACATATGAAATAAGACAGAGGCTGCCCTGAATTATTCAAACACAACAAGCTGTGAGGCTATACAAAATACCCAAGACATAAGGCGAAAAGCCAGGGGCTTTTTACTAACTGAGGAATGTGATTAGAGGAAAGAGGATTATGTGCTTAAGGCACTGAAATTCTACTCAGGCTATCTTGGTTTAGTTCCCAGCTCTGCCACAGCCTTCCTGTTGTCCAAACTTGGACAACAGTCACTCTCTGTTTCAGTTCCCCATCTGTAAAATGGGGATAATACTTAGACATGTTGTGAAGATCAATTAATTGTTTCTGAGGTGCTCAGATACAATAATGTAATAGAGGCCAAAGAAGTACAGTAGAACCTCAGAGTTACGAACACTTTAGGAATAAAGGTTGTTTGTAACACTGAACAAAATGTTATGGTTCTTTCAAAAGTTTACAACCGAACATTGACTTGATACAGCATTGAACCTTTACTATGCAGAAGACAAATGCTGCATTCCTTTATTATTTTAGTAATTTACATTTAACACAGTACTGTACTGTATTTGTATTTGCTTTTTTTTCCCCCCCCATCTCTGCTGCTGCCTGATTGCATACTTGCAGTTCCAAATGAGGTGTGTGGTTGATCAGTTTGTAACTCTGAGATTCTACCATACCTAGAAAGAGTGTAAAGTCATTACCAAGTTATACAAATGTTTTATAACAGTTTAGGGTAGCTGAAGTCTAATGGATTGATGCCAAGGCTGGGCTGCAAGGTTCCAGTCTAAAGTCTATCACTGACTCATAGGGTGAGCTTAAAACAGGTCACTTAACCTGTCTGCTTACTTAGCTTTATAATAGCTGTTTGAAAGCTACAGCGAGGAAGGACCAGAAGCACCAAGCATGTGGTTGGCTTTTATTTATCAGAACCAACTTGCACCATTGATGGATTTCCTTCTACTTGCAACAACTGGCCCCTCTCTGGGCTTGTCTGTACTTAGGCTAGATCAGCACTGCTGTGATTGATGCAGTAGTGACGATTTAGTGGGTCTAGTGAAGACCTGCTAAATCAATGACACAGCACTCTCCAGTCAACTCTGGTACTCTGCCTCTCCAAGAAGAGTAAGGGAAGTCGATAGGAGAGCATCTCCCGTTGACACAGCGCAGTGCACACACCACGGCAAGTCGACATAAGCTACGTCAACTCCAGGTACCTTATTCACATAACTGGAGTAGCGTAACTTGGGTCAACTTACCACGGTAGTTATAGACAAGGCCTAGGCCTTTACATTTCCTAAATCGGTGTATAATCACAAGATTCCTCTGCCACTTCTCTTACAAATCTTATATTTATGAACACATTTGTCTTCCAAACTCAAGACTTCTCATTGGGTACCTTTCACGGCCCCTTTACTTATAACTCTGTTCACTGCCACCTTTTCCGTCAGTGTCTGAATTCAGTTGAGTACCTACCTTCCTGGCCACTCGAGCAATTATCACAGCATACAGTTGCAGCAACTTAAGAAGCTAGCGTATGGCCTAATCAATCAACAGTAGCTGCTCTTCAGAGGGGGGGGGTCTTACTATGGGAAGGTTAGGTAATCTTTCAGTGACAGGAAAGATCACTTTCATAAAGACACTTGGGAGGTGGCTAGAAGCACACGTTTCACTCTGATTACTGAGGGCATCAGATCAGGACATGCACGCACAATACCTGGCAAAGAAGTTGTACCAAAAATGGTCAAACAGTCTAAAAGAACAGCCAAATTGATTCGAAACATCACAGACTCTTCCTGTACAATAAATTCTTGAAAAATCCCTGCCTGTAAAAAAAAAAAAGAGAGAGAGAAAAAGTGTGTGTATGGAAGAAGTGCAACAACATTTGTTTCTCTTTCTGCAGTAGCAGTGACTTAATCATCTCTATAAATCCATAATTTTCACCTTCAGAGCGCAACATGATACAAAATAAGAGCCAATGAGCATATAGTCAGGATCCTTTAAAAATTAGCACATAGCTTAGACAAAGGAAAATCAGATAAGTACAACATTTGAGCAGTGGCCTTTTACAGTGTAGTAATAAGCGATAAATGTTGAAGTATAAAGATCTCCCCACCAAACAGCAGATGTTCAGTGTGCTGTACAACTTAAATAAAACCAAGACTTGTCATTTATTTCCAGTACACCTATTATGATAATAGGTAGCACAATTTCTGCCCTGAGGAGTTCACAATCTAAAGATAGTCAAGTAAGCAAACAGCAGCAGGTGGAAGGGAACACATTATATAAAACATGACTTCTTAAAATTCAAAGAAATAAAACCAAGCAAGGAGGTCAAAATAGAAGACTAGAGAAAGAGGCTAATTTTCTCTCTCTGCCCCCTTCCTTCCCTTTCCTATTTTGTTCTTTTTTTATTCTCCCTCCACCTTATTTTTTTGGGGGGGAGAAATCAATGAAATATAAATGAAATGAAAAATTACTAGAGATAGCAGAAAAGGGTAACATAGGGTCAACAGTAATCATACTAAACACATGTTGAGAAAAAGTGATTTACAGGGTTATTCAGAGGTGAAGAAAGATGCAATGAGATGGACATCAAAGGGAGTGAACTTAGTCCTGTAGGGCTCACCATAATAATTGCTTGATGACCTAAGACACAAAAGTGAACTCCCTAAAAGATGGATGGAATCTGAATGCAGAACTCTTTGAGATCATGAAATGGAAGATGATGTATAAATACAAACTATTACTACTATTATTTGGAGAGATGATCAACAAGATATTTCAAAAGGAAAAATAATGAACTCTTTCACTGACGATGGAGAGGAAATGTTTACTGTCATGCAAGAGGGTATAGCAGGAAGTAATGGGATGGCATTAGGGAAAGAGAAGTAAGGCTGAATATTAGTAAAAAGCTTCCCCAGAGTGAGCTCTGTTCAATTGTAGAACTGTCTTCCATTAGGGAAGTGGTGGGATCTTTAATCATGAGTCATCTGTAAATACATCAGACAATCAGTGGCATATATACCCATAGTGAACAATCCGACGCTGGCCTCAGAGGATGTGCTGAATGACCTACAAGGTCTTTTCCCATCTCTAACTTTAATATCCAGCAGTGTTGCAGGGCACTTGCTGGGTCAGATTCTCCACCTTATGCCTTCAATTTTGACAATTCTTCTCTATCCCCTACGATAAACTGCATGCATTTCCGTATTCTCTCGAACAGTCCTTCCATCCCATACTTTCCATTCTTAGCTACTTCTAGTCTCTCTAATACTTCCCTGGCTCATTTAATGAGCTCATATCTCACAGTGGCTTCGTACCATGTGCTTATACAAGACTCAATGCGAAAATAATGGTGATCCTCTCATATGCTATAGTAACAATAAAATAGGAGAACAATTTCCTCTCTGGTACATCAAGAATTTAACTCCAGCATTTCTGAATAGTGTCAACGTCTGCACTTTTGCAAGTCTAGAATTGAGATATCTAACGCGTTGGACCCGCTGGTCTCATCTTTTGTTTGACTGGATTATGTCCATTGGGAAAGTCACTGACAAATGCAAGAGAAAGGAAAAAACTGCCATTTTAAACATGTGAAAGACTGATCACAGATAAACTGATGGTCTTATGATGTGCTAGGCTCCTTACCTGAATAAAGGCATTTGCCTGCAGACACTTTGCATTTTCCACTGTAACCTTGATTCCATTTGTAGTTGCAAAACATGTTGCATGGTCTTTAAAATGAATGGCTTTTAGGATATTTGAAAGGTTTCTGACATTGTCGAGACTGGCGACTAAAACATACTGATCATCACCAGTTTCAGGTTGAGTGGAGAGGGGCATTATCTAGTTTGCATTCACCAGTCCAGTCTTTCCTGTGACAGTATAAGTGAGGGATTAAGATGCAGTTTCAAAGAAAACCTAAAAAGAGGCAACATACTTGTGTTAATCTGAATTGCTGTGGATGAAAATTGAAAAAAAAGAAAAAGATTCACAAAGCTGTGATGATGTACTGGCAGCAATGCTTTGGTATAATTAAATATTTAATGAATAGACCAGGAGTATGTACAAAGAATCCAAAAAAAATAGAAGCTATTTCTACTCCCTGAGAGAGATATTCAGGTCCAATACTATTAAAATAGCAAAGTAACAGGATGCACAAGTGTATTCCTATATCTGTGTACCACTGACCCCTGCTGGATAGATCATGAAACCAGTTCATTTTTTTTAATTATTATATATATATATACACACACACACACAAATAAATTTCCCTCCATTTGAGCTTTAGCTCACAAAGTAGAGGCCTGTGTTTCTGAAACTGCAAGAGAAGACTGCTGATATTTCATCCTTCTATTCTCTCCTCATTCTATCCAGCTTGCAAGGAAATATATTTACATCTTTATGCTTTAAGTAGCATCTCCCTCTTTGTACAGGGTCATATTATAGGCAAACTGCAAAACAAACTAATACAGAAGTTGTAGCCATGTCCTTTATTGATGCCTTAGGCTGGTAAATACAGATTAATATGTTTTTTCCCCCTGCTTTTTTATTACATGACAAATATTACAACCCAACTTGCCTTGTTTTTCTGGAGGACTCTTTGGAAGACTACACACTTCACACTAGGGGGAAAGCTGAGTTGCAGCTTTCCCATTCCCAGGTGTCAGCTGAAAGGGTGAAGAATGCTGAGTGTCAACTGAGATTTCAGCCTAGTGCGATGCCCCTATCCTACTCCACTTCTTCAGTCTTCCAGGAAAAAAGTCAGATCTAGTATTTCTATTGTAAACAAACAAAAACAGAAAGATGACATTACATCCATCTTCATAAAGAAATAAAGGTCACAATCATATTTTTCCTTTACAATTCACTTTTAATAGCAGATGGGCACTACTGACATTATGAGCACATGTACAGGTGTCATACAAGCAGACCCTGTCAGGGAGATTTTCAATGACATGAAGGGCAGTTAGTTGCCCAAAACCTTTTGGTAGTGAATGGTGAAAATCTCCGCAAAGCTCCTCCTATCTCTATTGCTATGCCTTCTTTAAAGGCTGAACATTACCATGAAGCAGCACAATAGTTTTAATTGAACCACTATTTTTTTCCTGCTGTTGATAAGAAAAAAAAGGTTGTACTCCACTTTGTGAACAGAAATAAGTTAGTGCCATTAACATACTTTACAATCTGTTCTTCTGATTTAAATTTAACAGAAAGCCTTCCACTTCCTTTCACAAAGCTCTAGGTTACAGCAGCTGCTTCCTTTTGGCCATTATACTCATTGTTTTTTGTGCCATTGTGGTTTTTGTTTCCCCGTGTGTAGCATCGGTTTTATGCATAATCTTCCAGGGATGAGGTTGCAACATCCTCATCCGTCTCCCAAATTGTCAGCAGCCTCTCAGCAGGGTGAACAGGATTCCCGGCACTCTCATCCTCATCACTACAATGCAGGACCAATGTGAATCCTACTTCATGTTGTGTCTGATCATTAGCATTAAATCAGTTACAAGTCTACTTCACACACACACCCCCCCAAGTTTGTGCTCCATGGGCCAAACTCTTTTTCATCTTCAATACGCTTCCCAAGCACTAATATTACAGTATGCTGTGACAACAGCTAGAGCAGTGGTACCAAACCTATTTATCATTGTGTGCAGCATCTGCAGTTCTTTATGTGGGCTGCATCAACACACTAGCTATAAAAACAATGAGGAGTTCAGTGGCATATTAAAGACTAACAGATTTATTTGGGCATAAACTTTCATAGATTAAGAAACCACTTTCCCTCTCTTGGTATTGACACCTCCTCCTCAATTATTGGGAGTGGACTACATCCACCCTGATCGAATTGGCCCTGTCAACACTGGTTCTCCACTTGTAAGGTAACTCCCTTCTCTTCATGTATAATAATGCCTGTATCTATAACTTTCACTCCATGCATCTGAAGAAGTGGGGGGTTTACCTACAAAAGCTTATGCCCAAATAAATCTGTTAATCTTTAATATGCCACTGGACTCCTTGTTGCTTTTATAGCTAGTGGGTGGATGCTGCTCACATAAAGAGCTGCAGATCATAGAATATCAGGGTTGGAAGGGACCTCAGGAGGTCATCTAGTCCAACCCCCTGCTCAAAGCAGGACCAATCCCCAGACAGATTTTTACCCCAGTTCCCTAAATGGCCCCCTCAAGGATTGAACTCACAATCCTGGGTTTAGCAGGCCAATGCTTAAACCACTGAGCTATCCCCCTCCCCCCCATTGTGTGCAGCATTGTGTGACGCTGCACACAATGGTAAATAGATTTGGTACCACTCCTCGTTGTATTTGTGGATACAGACTAACACAGCTACCCCCGGATACTTGACACTAGCTATATTACCTGTACGGCCCGGAGGCTGTCACTGGGTCACAGCTGTGCGCTGATGGGCCACACGCGGCCCTCAGGTTGAGACCCAGGAGCTAGAGGAATCAGGCCGGAGGCCCCTTTGCACTAGGCACTCAGCAGCGGACACAGACCCCGGCCCGCCCTGGGGAACCAGCAGCCCGGGGACAGCGCTGAACTGGGAACCTCACCCCAGGCTCGGGTCGGGGGTCCGCCCGCTCAGCCCAGTGACGTGGCTCCGCGGACCCGCCGCGCCGCCTAACGCCGTCACACGCGATGCGGACCCTCCCCACAGAGCGACTAGCGACTCACCTCGTGCTTTACGGCTGTCGTAAAACGAGATCCGCCGGAGCAGGGCAGCACGCCGCCTGCCAGGACCATAGCGCGAGGAGCGGAAGACCATGGCGAGGGAGCGCAGCTTCCGGTGGGAAGGTCACGTGTAGGCAAGATGGCGGCGGCCAAGAGGAAGCGTGGAGGTGCTGCGACCCGGGCGAGGAAACGAGCCAGAGGGGCTCCGAATGGGACCGGGCCGCCGGCCAAGCCAAGCCCGCAGGGAGAGGAGCGGGAGGAACACACCATCCCGGCTCCCATCTCTAAGGTAAAGAGAGCGGCTGATCCCGCTCCTGCCCGAGGCGTCTGCCCCTTTCCCTCCTCCGCCCCCGGAGTATGTGGCTGGCCCGGATGGTCTCCGCCGGTCTCTCTATGGCGCGGAGGGTAAGAGGCCGGGGTGGCCTAGGCTGTGTCCTCCCTGTTGGTGGTAGGAGCTCTGGAATGGCCCATCGTGTTCGCCATCCCCTCTGCGGGACGGGGAGGGCCTGCCCTGTTGGGGAAAGGCTGTCTCTCCTCAGGGGAGGCTTCCCACGGGCCGGAGATTATCCGTCTCCTGCCTCAGAACTTTTAGAGACGTTGCCTCTCATTAGAGAAGCAGCTCTCTTCCCTCTGAGTTCTCAGTATTCTTGCAGGGTCGCCACCTGCTTGGTGTGGAAGGGAGCAAATGGCTGGTTGCAGTCGCTCCACAAAAATAAGGGGTCTGGTGGCACCTTAAAGGCTAACAGATTTATTTGGACATAAGCTTTCATGGGTAAAAAACCCTCACTTTTTATCCATAAAAGCTTATGCCCAAATAAATCTGTTAGTTTTTAAGGTGCCACCGGACCCCTTGTTGTTTTTGTGGATACAGACTAACACGACTAATCCCTGATATTAGTCTCTCCACAGAGACATGTGCTGCCTTGATCTGTGTGGTCACCCAAACTTCTCATATGAGTGTGCAAAGCAAGGTTATGTTTCACTGTCATGATCTGCACAGATATCTTGAATACACTAGTACAAGGAGATACCACGTCTAAGCACCTGAAGTGCCGCCCTGAACACAGGGGTGCTCGGATCAAACTGAGGCACTGCATGTGCTCTGGGGGTCCGTTTTTTCTGCTTCCATGAAGATGAGCCATGTTGGGTGCTGTAGTTTTGGGCAGCTGAGGCCAGTAATCAGTCTGGAATCTCTTCCCACACTCAACTCCACGATCCAAACTCTAGCCAGTACTTGACTATTCCTAGTTATTGGGTTCTTGAGCTTGTTGGGCTGAGATGGCGGTGTCCAAAATAAGCAAAAATAAGCAGTTTCACATATGGGGGGGGGGGTCATTCTAGAGCAATAGCTTTTCACAATATTGGTCCCCATTATTATGAACTCGTTATTTGGTGTTATGATTTTTATATGAAATGGTTTGTATTCTGGATCATATAACGCAATTGCGATATAGCAATACTAACACCCTAAAATATTATCAGAGTTAAAAACAAATAAAGCCTTGTACAAGGACTTGATAGCTAGTTTTAGTGACTATTTTATTTAGGGAGCATCCCAGATGACACGGTTCAGTAGTTGTACATTTGACAGCTTTTCAGTTTTTTTTTAAAGTAACTTGCATATTGAAATTGGAAATTCTATAGTCCATAGAAGCTACCCGGGCCTTCTGTGCTGAGTTAAGAGGATTCATTTGCAGCAGACCCTTTTATCCTGTGTTGCTTTACAACTCCCTGGCTCTCAGTTCACTTTGTAGAGAAAGCAACAGATCAGCCTTTTCTCATGACTGAGATGACCTACTGTGCTTCTAATATTCTTGGCTTTCTGCACAGCTCAAAATGCTGCAGATCCATTTGTCAATGTCCAGGGGAGGGAGGAGTTTCACCAAAGCCCCTCAGTATTCTGTTGCTGACTCAAAGGGAGGATTAGGATCATTCCCTGGGGATATTGCCATTTTCTTCCTGTCAGAGACCACTATTCCTAGAGCTCATGAAAATATTTTAGAAGCAGCAGCTCTTGCCTCTGGAATGGACTGAATGGCTGGGATTTTCAAAGTGCTTTCTTGAATGAATGGCACTGCACTCCTCTCTAAGTTCTTAACTCTTCCTTCACCTTAAAATTACACAAGATGAACACTTCTGTACTATCACTATATGCAGTTTAACTTTTATGCACTTAATGTCATTTTGCTGTATTTAGTTGCGTATTCCTGTACCATCCCTGACCCTCATGGTTATTGTTTAAATGGGAAAACAAATAGATTTCAGGGCTACTTACCCCTCCTGTCTGCAAGCAGCTGCACCCTGATACATGAAGTTTAGCACAGCCTAAGAGGGGAAATTTTATGTGAGCAGCCTCAAATATCAATAGTGTATCACTGAAAACATTGAGTTGATTAGGATTCTTTGTGTAGGAATTAAGTAGTCAAGTGTGAAAGATCAGAGTTGCCCACATAAACATTTATATCTCTGTTCCTGTTGAAAAGGCAGCACTTTGTTTTAATTGGAAACGTCTTCACAAATGTAGATTTTAAAAAATCTGAAATCTTAATTGATTAAATATTAACTTTGATTTTAAAAAAGTTTAAGATTATAAACTTTTTTTTCCACCTTAACTTTGTGTTTCTTTTAGGGTAAATGGAAGAACAAAGAGCGGGTGCTTATTTTCTCTTCTAGAGGAATAAATTTCAGAACAAGACATCTAATGCAAGACTTGCGAACATTGATGCCCCACTCCAAAGCAGGTAAGGTCTAGGTATGGCTTGTGTCTAAGTTTGTCAGTGTTTTTGACTATTCTAGTTTATTATACCACTTGCTTCCAACAGCCTGCTTTTTGAAGATGGTGCATAATTCTTATTTTATATGGCTCACTGTCTGTTGTTGACATTATTTACCCCAATTGCTGCACAGAATAAGTGTTGGATTAGAACATAAGAATGGCCGTACTGGGTCAGACCAAAGGTCCATCCAGCCCAGTAGCCTGTCTACCGACAATGGCCAATGCCAGATGCCTCAGAGGGAGTGAACCTAACAGGTAATGATCAAGTGATCTCTCTCCCGCCGTTCATCACCACCCTCTGACAAACAGAGGCTAGGGACACCATTCCTTACCCATCCTGGCTAATAGCCATTAATGGATTTAACCTCCATGAATTTATCCAGTTCTCTTTTACACCCTATTATAGTTCTAGCCTTCACAACCTCCTCAGGCAAGGAGTTCCACAAGTTGACTGTGTGCTGTGTGAAGAAGAACTTCTTTTTATTTGTTTTAAACCTGCTGCCGATTAGATTCTAATTAAGATCTTTAGGAAACTAGGCCTCCATTCTGCAAACACTCAAATACATGCTTTGCTTTATGTTTCACTATTCCTTTGACTTCAGTAAAACTACTTGCAAGCATAATGCTTTGTATGTGTTTCAGTATAAAGCCGTATGGTAAATTGGGGCCTTAAGCTGGTATGTGCAAAAACTGTTGTTAAAAGCAACCCAAGTAATGAGTAAGAGGTAAAATAATACCAACAGTGAACATGAGTTATATGCAAACTGCTGAGAAACACAAAAACTGAGAAAATGCTTCATCTTTCTTTAGTAATAGTAGGTGAAATATTTTCAGAAAAGTGTGGGTTTTTTGTTTTTAATTGCTGGTGTCCCTTGTAATATACAAAAGCATACAAGACTGCTCAGTGGTACTTTTTTCTTTGTTTACAGACACTAAAATGGACCGTAAAGACAAGCTGTTTGTAATTAATGAGGTAATGCCATGACTAAACTAATATTTATATTTTGGCTTTTTGGAAATTGTGTGAGCAGATAGGTGATGTTGAAATGGAAGAGAATTTTGGTTTACTTCATGAAGCACAAAGAGTCTAAATCCTGCTGTTTGAATTACTTGCTAAACCACAGGAAGTAATCAGAGTCATTCTTCTGCATAGGAAATAGGTTAATTCACTTTTTGAAACCAAGACTAGTAAGTAAAATATTGATGTAATCTTGCATTTGTCCTCTCTTTTGTTAGACATGATCTGATAGACATGAGAACCTGGTCCTGAAAGCACTCTGTATGCAGAACTCTTATTGAAATCAATAGAAGTTCTGTGCACAAAAGGCTTGCAGGATAGAGCCCTATGGTGGCATAGAATCATAAAATATCAGGGTTGGAAGGGACCTCAGGAGGTCATCTAGTCCAACCCACTGCTCAAAACCGGATCAATCCCCAACTAAATCATCCCAGCCAGGGCTTTGTCAAGCCTGACCTTAAAAACCTCTAAGGAAGAAGATTCCACCAGCTCCCTAGGTAATCCATTCCAGTGCTTCACCACCCTCCTAATAGTGGAAAAGGTTTTTCTAATATCCAACCTAAACCTCCCCCACTGCCACTTGAGACCATTACTTCTTGTTCTGTCATCTGGTACCACTGAGAACAGTCTAGATACATCCTCTTTGGAACTCCCTTTCAGGTAGTTGAAAGCAGCTATCAAATCCCCCCTCACTCTTCTCTTCTGCAGACTAAATAACCCTCAGCCTCTCCTCATAAGTCATGTGATCCAGTCCCCTAATCATTTTTGTTGCCCTCCGCTGGACTCTTTCCAATTTTTTCCACATCCTTCTTGTAGTGTGGGGCCCAAAACTGGACACAGAACTCCACATGAGGCCTCACCAATGTCAAATGGAGGGGAATGATCACGTCCCTCAATTTGCTGGCAATGCCCCTACTTATACAGCCCAAAAAACATTAGCCTTCTTGGCAACAAGGGCACACTGTTGACTCATATCCAGCTTCTCGTCCACTGTAACCCCATGGTCCTTTTCTGCAGAACTGCTACCTAGCCGTTTGGTCGCTAGTCTGTAGCAGTGCATGGGATTCTTCCGTCCTAAGTGCAGGACTCTGCACTTGTCCTTGTTGAACCTCATCAGATTTCTTTTGGCCCAATCCTCTAATTTGTCTAGGCCCCTCTGTATCCGATCCCTACCCTCCAGTGTATCTACCACTCCTCCCAGTT